TTTTGTCAAATCTTGTGGTTAGGGTTATGTCCAGGATTTTGTGCAATGACAACAAGAGTTGTTCAACTCCATCAATTGCATTCTGTCCGAGATTCTTATACTTGTGGAGATCAAACATAAAATTAAAATAAATAAAATAAACTTTTAAGGCCTACCAAGTCATAAAATTCAAATATTGATCTAAAACATGAATGTGTTACTATATTTTATTCAAGACTGTCTGGCTGCAAAAGTGTAACGTGTGGGAAATGGCAAATATAACATTAAAAGAGTACATTCGAGGTGTCAACACAAAGACGGGAGCCAACCCACATGAGATTACACACGCGACAAAGAGGGTACAAACTAACTTTAAAAAAAAATACTAGAAAACTCAATGAAGAAGACTTAAACCAGACACAATTGAAGTAGAACTAAAAACAAAAAGAAAAATCAAACAAAACAACTTCTAAACATACCTAAAAGATACAATAAAGTCCTCTCGGCCAACCTATAACACCACCTATGCCACAACTTTCAAATACAACAAAATAAAATTAGCCTACAAAGAAGAGCCCGATCTCAACCAAGAATTTTAGGCCAGAAACTCTAAAGTCTATAACTAGGGGTGAGCAAAACCGAGCGGAAACAAAAAAACCGAGTTGAACCGTGCTGTCTGGTTCGATTAGTTTTTTAATATAAAAAAGTTGCGGTTCAATTTCGATTCGGTTATTTTCTACACTGCGTTGCGGTGCGGTTCTAGTTTTTCATATGTTCGGTTTTCGGTTTTGTTCGATTCGGTTGGACTGATCCACACCAAACTGAATAAAATGTATAGGAAAATCGAGACAAAACAAAAATCAAGCCTAACCGTGCGGTTCGGTTCAGTTTTTAATATAAAAGAATTTAGGTTCGGTTTCGCTTCAATTTTTTTCTACATTGCATTGCGGTGCGGTTATAATTTTTCATATGTTTGGTTTTCGGTTTTGTTCGATTCGATTGCACCGAACCACACCAAATTGAATAAAATGTGTAGAAAAATCGAGATAAAACAAAAAATCGAGCCGAACCGCACTGAATTACGCGGTACAGTTCTGTTTTTCAGTTTAGGCTCATTTTTGGTTTTGTCTAAATCTTTTGGTTTGGTTTGGTTAATTTTGAAAAATATGGTATGATTAGTGATGGTGAGTTGATTTGATGTAAAAATATGAAATATGATTTTAAGTGATGGTGAGTTGAGTGGATGAATCCCCTTTATCACCCTTATATATTAATTCAAAACGTGTTGGGCCTAAGTGACAGACTCACACGTTTTGGAATCCTACATGTCACAATATCATGCTTTGTATTTAGGTTCGACTACAAGATTTGGAAACAAAAATTGACTTAGATAGTGTCATAAATAATTTTCAACCATACATTATTGTCTTCAATCACTTTCTTTCATTGCCAATTTTATTTATTTATTTATTTATTTTTTTTGGCAAAGAATTATCAAATTTGTCTTGAATTTAAAGATCACACAAATCTTTATTTCCTTATTTCATTTTACTAAGGATTCATCTCATTCTTTCATATTTTATTTATTTTTCAAGTTGATAAATTTTTGCCAATTTTTGAGTATGTCTTTGTTTGCGCAATAAATAATGATGATCTATAATTATATATTATAACTATATTGATATTATAATTAATAAAATCTTAACTAAACACGTCTCTCATTTTAATTCTCATCCATTTTAGCCGTTATCTTAATTATCATCCTTTATCTTATTTTTCCATGTTGATAAATTTTAGTCCATTCATCATATTTTTTTTTATTATTTTCTCAAGTTGATAAACTTTAAGTAGAACTAATAATGTTGTGCACAAAGATTTTTTTTTTTTAATTTTGAAATAAATTTCAATGTACAGTAGTTTTTGTTTTTATGAAATTTTGATTTATTTATTTATTTTGCATATACTTACAATAACTAAACTATTTTTTTTGTTCAAATTATATTTTTATGCACATGTCAATTAAAGTTAAGGAAAATGCTACGGTCTCGTTATAGAACCATTCCGTCGAGGTTTGTAACTGTTAAATCATAATGAAATTGTCAGAGATAGTTCATCTAACGGTTATACTCGATAAAATAATTATGTTACGGAACCGTTCCTAAAGTTAATGTAATGTATAAAAATTATTAATTGATATTATTTAAATATATTAATAATATTAAAAATTGTGACAATTGAGTTAAAATTGAGTTGAAGAAAACCATTGAGTTAATAAATAGGATAGCGGCCCCGCAGAAGAAACAAGTCGTTTTTAATCTTTGCTCACTATTACCGAAGCTCATTAAATTTCTTCACTGTAGAGTGCAGAGTCGATGAATAAGCTGAGATGGGCGGTGGACGGCGGGTTTTGGGATGTGGACGTATCGACGCCGGCGACGGTGGACGGAGTAGCCCGTCCCGTCTCAGGGGTGACTCTACCATTGGGATTGAGCCGCGGGGCAAGGCTATCTCGACCCAAACAGGCTGATTTCTTCCAGCGCTTCATGGCCATGCCGTTTATCCCCTCTTTCTCCGGCGCCGGACTCTCTTTCCAGCGCGCTCTATCCCTCCCTCTCCCCAACAACTGGTACTCTATTCTTAATCCTCCCAATATTAGACCTGCCAATTTCTTTGAGTATTAGGTTTTCTGAACCTCCCCCAAATCTAAGACTGGACGATTTTAATTGACCTGGTGTAAAAATCTCTCTTTTTTTTTTTTTTTTTTTTTTT